TTCCTCACAAACTGGGGTGGGGGGGGTGGGTGATGTGGCAAAAGTGATCCTGTCAGGGACACACACCATAGAAATAGTGTCAGAACTATTGATGTCCAGGATGTCCTGCCTGAGCCCTGCACAGTTACTTCTGGAATGTCAGTGGTGGGGTTTTTGACATTTCGGAGGATTGAAGAGCTCTGCTGAGAAATCATGTTTTCATTTGAAGTTTTTGAAGGACAGAGCTGTTTCACCACCATCTCCCATCAAGTTTACTGCAGTGCATCTTTCCAGCAGACGTCTGAGCTATCTTTCAAAATGAATTTAATAAAAAAAATGGCAGTAACTATAAAATAAGTGCTGATAGCAGCCCTGACCTCTGATTTATTGGCTAATAAAAGGAATACTTCACAAAGAGCAATTTAGCACCTCATTGACTTAGGGATGGAGGAGACTGGACTGAGTGGTGTCAGCAATGGTGACCAGCACACTGTACGGGAATGTGCTGGGCCTTTGCATTTTTACTTAAAATTTAGACAGAATAGGCACCACAGACACAGACCATTCAGCCCGACTGGTCCATGCCAGGATTTATGTTACCCACGATGCCCCCACCACCCTGCCTTCCTGCACACTTATCAGTGTATTTTCCGGCTCTCTAAAGACTGCTTTTAGCTTTCAAAAACATCATCTGCCCAATACCAGGCAAACTGTACAGGCTGGCCATGCAGTGTACATTCTCCTACTTTATACCAAGGCTCAAAGGGTTAAATTCCGAGGGCAAGCCACATAGCTTGCCCCGTACTTGATTTGGTTCGGAAGACTGTTGAGATCAGGTCGTTAAGTATATTCCAGGCTGAGATAGGCAGATCTTTAATCAGTAAGAGAATCAGGGTAATGGGGAAAGGGTGGGACAGTGGAGATGAAGATCATCAGATCATCCACAATTACATTGAATGGCAGAACAGACTCAACCAGCGGAATGGCCTACTTCTGCTCCTACGTCTGATGGTTTTTTGGTTGCAGGTTGTTCTATCCAAGCTGTTTGAAATAGGAAAATGAAAGGAAGCAGGTTGCAGAGGAATTATCTCCTCGGCTTGAAGAAATTAGAACCAAAACATGAGAGTCAGGCCATTTGGAGGTAAATTCAGACAGCACCTTTTCGTACAGAGGACAGGGGAATCTAAAACGCACTTGTCTCAAAAGGCTAGGAGTGCTGGTGACCATCTATATGAAAGAATCAAGTTGCATGAAGAAGTAAAACTCAATGACAATGGGAAAGTTTGATCGGGTATAGACAGAAATTGAACAAAAGCCTTAAACATACGACAGCTGTTAATAAATTAAATAGGTAATTCTGGAGACATTTCAGAACCAGAGAACCGTTGCAATGCAGACCCCACAAGGAATATTTGAGAAGAATAACCAAGATACATTTGAAGGGAACCTCGTTAACCACAGGAGAAAGGTATCACTCAAAGGATGCACCACTAAGATAACATGAGGAAGGGAGGGAGAAATTTCTTTACCTGGAGGTGGTAGAATTTACTAGCATAGAAATCAGTTCATAGAATCCCTACAATGCAGATAGAGGCCATTCAGCCCATTAAGTCTGCACTAACCCTCTGAAGAACACCCTACCCTGTCTCTGTAACCCTGCATTCCCCATGGATAATCCACCTAACCTGCACATCTCTGGACAGTGCAGACCGATAAGCATGGCCAATCCACCTAAACTGCACATCTTTGGACTGTGGGAGCACCCAAGAGAAACTCACGCAGACATGGCGAGAATGTGCAAACTACACACAGACAGTCACCTGAGGCTGTAATCAAATCTGGGTCCCTGGTGCTGAGAGGCAACAGTGCTAACCACAGAGCTACGCGTAGTTGAGGGCAAAGCATTGCATGTTTTCAAGAAGGAATTAGTTGTAATTGTTAGGGCTAAAGGAATCAAAGAGTACAGAGAGAAAATGAAAACAGGACATTGAGTTGGATGATCAACCATGATCATACTGAATGATAGAGCAGGTTCGAAGGGCCAAATGACCTATCCCTGCTCCTTTTTTATCTGGGTTTCTATGTTTGTGTCAAGCACAGTCCGAAGATGGACCTACTGAGCTGGAAATAATTTGTAACTTTGAAATGAACTGGAAATAGCAAAAGCTAATTCTGAGATTAGCATTGAAAAGTTCTGCGCGTGAACAGAAATGAGGATATGGAACAGATGGGAGATTATCTGACTCCTCTTGATTAAGGCTTTTGTAGATGATGAAATTTATCATTGCCTCTTATGTGGAGCTCCGCCTTCAGCCAGCTGACCAAAGCAGTAAGGATCAAGACCTGAAACTTGAGGCTCGGTCATGATCTATGAGCAACTGTGATCCCTATGCTCCTCTACGTTTAATGGAGACATAGAGAATAAGAGCAGGAGTAGGCCATTCTGTCCTTTAAAAACAGTTTTGCAAACAGAAAATGTTGGAAAAATTCAACAGGAGGTCCGGCAGCATCTGTGGAGAGAAAGCACAGTTAACATTTTGGGTCCAGTTACCCTTCTTCAGAACTCCTTTCTGCTATTCTGAAGAAGGGTTGCTTTGCTTTCTCTCCACAGATGCTGCCAGACTTGCTGAGTTTTTCCAGCAATTTCTGTTTTTGTTTCTGATTTCCAGCATCCGCAGTTCTTTGTTTTTTTTTTGTTTAAAGGTACTTATTTGTTGTATTCAGGTAAGAGTAGAATGTTACAATGTAGAAGAACATTCAAGCCCTCACGGCTGTGAGGTACTTTGAAAGAGCTGTCCAATTTGTAACCAATACAATTTCTATCTCATTGTAGCATCTTACTGGATGAGATGGCCTTCTGATCCATATCTATCTGACAGCCCTCATGAATGCATTGACTGAATAATGTCTTTAGTAGTTCACAGAGTGGAGGATCATTGACATTATTGGTGCAGGAATTCGACTGAATCAATTGGCATTTGCTTTCTTTGTAGCTTGTACTCAGAGGGGAAGAGGTCACAAAGAATTGTATGAGAATTGCAGGAATTAAATAGTTTATGTGGATCTCCAATTTGAAGATGCTTGGTTAAAGGAAATCTTGCTGCCCCACTGTGGCATTGGGGTGGCACGGTGGCTCAGTGGTTAGCACAGCTGCCTCACAGCACCAGGGACCCGGGTTCGATTTCACCCTCGGGCAACTATCTGAGCGGAGTTTGCATGCGCTGCCCATGTCTGTGTGGGTTTCCTCTGGGTGCTCCGGTTTCCTCCCACAGTCCAAAGATGTGCAGGTCAAGTGGATTGGCCATGCTAAATTGCCCACAGTGTCCAGGGATGTGGAGGCCAGGTCATTGAGTATATTTAAGACAGAGATTGATAGGTTCTTGATTGTCAAGGGGATCAAGAGTTATGGGGAGAATGGGGCTCAGAAACCTATCAGCAGGACAGCCGGAGCAGACTGGATGGCCTAATTTCTGCTCCTATGTCTTATGGTCTTATGATGTGCAGGCTAGGTGGGTTAGCCATGGGAAGTGCAGGGTTACAGGTAGAGGGTTGGTGAGGACTTGCTGGGCTGAATGGCCTGCTTCCATGCTGTAGGGATTCTATGATTCATTGCAGGGGTGCCTTGTACCATTGCCTGTGACAGATAGAAAGCTCAGTTATATGGGACTGCCTGTTCCGTTTTGACCTGGTTTGTAAAACAGCAGGCAAACACAAGAATTAAATAGTAATCATGAAATGCAGAAAAGGAGCAACCAGCTGTGGTTTATAGAAAAGACTCCTTGAATTGCCATTCTTAATGTTCTGTAAGATGTTCCTCTCCAAGGAACTAAGATGCATAAAAGAAAACCATTTCAAGTTTCTTCACATTTTACTTGTTCCTTCAGAATCCTTTGATACACTATGAAACGCAATTTGTTAAAGACAGATTTCATAGCTTCAGGTTTTTTCACAAGGTGCATGATCAGACTTACCAGTTCTTGCAGATATTCGGACAGTAATCTGATAATGGTTTGGCACCCTTCAGGAGTGCTTCAAAATGGTCAACGTTTAGACATTTCCCTGTGGGATATGGGTTTCACCGGCTAGGACCTCATTTGTTGCCCATCACTAATTGCCGTTGCAAAGGTGAGCACCTTTCTTGGGATGTGGGTAACCTCACAATAGTGGTAGGAAGGGAACTCCAGGATTTTGATCCAGCAACAGTGAAGAAGCAACAATAATTTCCAAGTCATCATGGCTTGTTGGGGTGCATAGAGGTGATGATGTTCTCACGTGTCTTGTGAGTGTGATGGTGCTGGATAAGGTGCCAATCAAGCGAGGTGCTTTGTCCTGCTTTGTCAAGCTTCTTGAATGTTGTTCGAGTTACACCCATCCAGGAAAGTGGGAAGTAATCCATCACACTCCTGACTTAGGTCTTGTCAATAGTGGATAAGCTTTAGAGAATTAAATGATGGCCTAATTGCGAACTCCTCTTGTTGCGACCTATTGGTCAATTGATGCAATTTGTCCGAATAATGGATGAGCTTGACACATTAGAACAGAGGAATTGGAGGTTACCTGCGTTTGAACATACATATGAATCAGGAGCAGCGGTAGGCCATTGCAGCCTGCCTCACCATTCTATATGATCACGGCTGATCCAATTGTCACATCAAATCCACACTCCCGCCTACTCCAATCATCTTCCAACAGCCACTTACTCGCCAAGAATATGCCTACCCTGCCTTAAAGCTGTTCATGAACTTTGCTTCCATCATGTTTTCTGGGAGAGACTTCCAAAAAAATCTCATGACCCACTGAGAGAAAAGCAACAATCCTAGTTGTTGGCTATTCACAATGAACTGGTCTGCAAAATGACACAAGTACTCTACGACTGGTGGAAAAGTAATCTGTTGTACCCCACATCCTACATTGTAACACAAAATGGTATGTTCTGTCAGAAATATGTTATTGTCTATGTTCTGGAAGGTGATGACACTCCCTGCTCACAATTCATGTTCCATATTCCTTTCCTTTTCTAGAGTAATTTTGTGGCCTGTATGACAGCTATTCTCAGCCAGATGGAGTACGCACATTATGCCAGCTACATCAATTCCTTCCAGACACGCCAAGACCTCATGGTGAGTGGCTTGAAAAGATTTGGTTTCGTTTGCCTTGCACTGGTTTTTGTTTATTTTCTAGGTCCGTTTCCCAACTTGTGCCTCAAAAATCAGACCAGCTCCAAGGGTCATTGTGTCCAAGTGTCTGGCCTTCTCGTAGGAACGCAGAGAGTGAAACTAAAACAGAAATTGCTGGAAAAGCTCAGCAGGTCTGTCAGCAACTTTGGAAAGAAATCACAGTTAACGTTTCGCATCCAGTGACCCTTCCTCAGAATTGATGGTAGCTAGGAAAATGTTGTTTTGTATCGCAGAAGATAGGATGGGGGGAGAGGTTAAGGAGTAAATGATAGGTAGAGATAGGGCCCAAAGAGAGAGAGAAGAACAATTGAACAGACAAAGAAGTGGATAAAGATCAGCCTGGGAGAATGAATAGCTACTAATAGGGACTTTCAGTGACGAACAATGGGTTGTGTGTGAAAAACAGAAGGTGCTGGAAAAGCTCAGCAGGTCTGGCAGCATCTGTGAAGAAAAAAACAGACTTAACGTTTCGGGTCTGGTGACCCTTCCTCAGAACTGGACCTGAAATGTTAACTCTGTTTTTTTCCTTCACAGATGCTGCCAGACCTGCTGAGCTTTTCCAGCAACTTCTGTTTTTGTTCCTGATTTACAGCTTCCGCAGTTCTTTTGGTTTTTAATGGGTTGTGTGTAATAGCAGATCGTGTGATAACAAGGCCTGATGTTTGGGGGTTGGGGTAAGGACATGGGAGAAGGTGCTTCAAGCCCTAAAATTGTTAAAGGAGCAAATTACTGCAGATGCTGGAATCTGTACTGGAAACAGCAAATGCTGGAGATCATAAAGTGTCAGACAGCATCCATGGAGAGACAGCAAGCTAACGTTTCAAGTCTAAATGACTCTTCAGAGTTTACCTTGCTCTGATTCCATGGATGCTGCATGATCTGGGTGATCTCCACTATTTGTTGTTTTCACTTAAAGTTGTTAGACTCGATATTGAGTCCAGAAGGCTGTAGAATTCCCAAGCGGAAAATGAGGCACTCTTCTTCCAGCATGTGCTGAGCGTGGCTGGAGCACGAAAGCAAGCTTGAGACAGGGCTGTTGGCCAGGGAACAGGGTGGTGTGTTGAAGTGGCAGGCAACTGGAAGCTCAGGGTCTTTTTTGCGAGCAGAACGTAGATGTTCTGCGAAGCGGTCACCCAGTCTACACTTTGTTTCCCCAAAGTAGAGGAGACCACACTGTGAGCAGCGAATGCAGTAGACTAGATTGAATGAAGTGCTGGTAAAGTGCTGCTTCACCTGGAAGGCATGTTTGGGCCCTTGGATAGTGAGGAGGGAGGAGGTAAATATACAGGTGTTACACCTTCGGCGGTTACAGGGGAAGGTGCCGTGGGGCTGTGGGGGAGCTGTTGGAAGTGAAGAAAGAGTGGACCAGGCTGTGCCAGAGGGAACGGTCCCTGCGGAAAGCTGACAAGGGAGAAGAGGGGAATATGTGTCTGGTGGTGGCATTCTGTTGGAGGTAGCAAAATGGTGGTTAATGATCCTCTGGCTGTGGATGAGAGAGCGAAGGTTGTTATCAGCAGAGGACAGGAGAGCTGAAGCAAGGCTGTAGAACTCTATGTACTCACTTCAAACATTTGGTGCTGAATGCAATATTGTACATAATAGAATAGAATTGCAATTTATTGTCACATGCATTTTTACAACAAATACAGTGAAAAGTTTTATAAGTCCCCATACCACGGCACCTAAATTAATGACAGAAGTCATAAATAAGAAGCAAATAAAGCCACAGTGCATCACAGTTCAATTAACTGCTGTTGGGTTTGGGGTACGCTGGGAAACCAGCTGAGAGCACCACAGAGGGCTGGGAATAGACCTGCCACGCAGGGCTGGACCGAGACCACCCTCCCGAGCCCAGACAAGACCCCCACACCAGAGCTAGGACTTCACAGCGGGCTGCTGGAATACCCAGGAGTTGTGGAAGAAGACCTCCACGCCACGATAAGACCACCATGCCAGGCTGAGACTGCCCTTCTCGACAAGACCACCGCACCGGGAGACTGCCCCACCAGGAGCTAGGCCTATATCACTGTTCTGGGCCGTTGGAAACCATCTCGTCGCTGGGCCTGGGCTGGGAGACGACGCTTTCCATGGAAGTCATTAAGAGAAAGTGAGATCCCATTATAAATGGAAACATTAAAAGAAAGCATAGGAAGAGAAAAAAGAAGTGAAACAGAAGGAAGAGATGAGTTCCGAGCTCCTGGGCTGGGGAGGCTCCTACTCTGTCACCAGTTTGTGAGATAAGGAAGTCATTCAGTCCATCTTGTCAATTCTTTGAAAGTTTAGTCCTACATCCCTGCTTTGTTTGTAAGAAGGGGGCTAGTTAGCTCAGGAGGTTGGATGTCTGTCTTAGAACACTCAGTGATTGTGACAACATGGGTTTAATTCCCACACCAGCTGGGGTTACCATAAGGACTCTCCTTCTCAACCTCTCCCCCTCACCTCAGGTGTGGTGAGCCTCTGGTTAAACCACCACCACTAATGAGGGAGTGAGACTTACCTTTGTACGATTTTTGTCATCACCAAATTCCTTTAAGATTATTTACTTCTATTCTATTTTAGCTTCTATTACCTTTTCAGGTGGACCATAAGACAGTAAGACCAGAAGATATTAGAACAGAACTAGGCCTCTCAATCCATCAAGGCTACTCCACCATTTGATTATGGCTGATATGTTTCTCAACTCCATTCTCCTGCCTTCTCCCTGTAACCCTTCATCTCCTTACTAATCAAGAGCCTATCTACTTCTGTATTAAATACTTAATGACTTTGTCCCCACAGCCCTCTGTGTTAATGAGTTCCATAGATTCACCACCCTCTGGCTGAAGAAATTCCTCCTCACCTCAGTTCTAAAGGGTCATCCCTTCACTCTGAGGTTGAGCCCTCGGGTCTCTCTTAATAGTGGAAACTCTATCCAGTGCTCTCAGTATTCTGTAAACTTCAATCAGATTCCACACCCGCTCCCCCAGCAATATCCTTCTAAACTCCATCGAATACAAACCCAAGGTGGAACGTTCCTGTTGCCAATAGTTCTTTGAGTAAAGGTTTTTACCCTCATCTTCCCTCTCAGGTATTTTGCCAGTGATTTTGAATCTGCCCACTCTGCTTAATCCAGAGAATTCCAACAGTGTCCACATCGAGTCCATACCAATCCTGCAAAGAACACCCCACCCAGACCCACCCCATTCCCTATCCCTGAATTTCCCAACCTAGACACTACGGGCAATTTGGCATGGCCAATCCACCTAGCCTGCACATCTTTAGACTGTGGGAGGAAACCCATGCAGACATGGGGAGAATATGAAAACTCCACACAGACAGTCACCCAAGGATGGAATTGAACCTGGCTCCCTGGAGCTGTGAGGCAGCAGTGCTAATCATTGAGCCACTGTGCCATCCCAAATGTTCCACTTAATGGAGAGAAGATTTATCCTTGCAGTGCCCAATCACAGCCACTAGCCATCTTTAAATCGTGCACCATGTCACATCTTAAACTCTTGCCTTCCTGAGGGCTGGATATTTTCACAAGCTTTGGAGCTTCAGTGTCGGGAACAAACTGGGCAGGGAGCGGGGACCCTAATTGGGTTTGTAGTTAGCTGATTGGTTGTCTGCCACCAGAAGAGGGTTTGTCCTGTCCGGGTCCCCATCCACTGGTGGGAATGTTCTTCAGGCAAGTGTCAGGAACTCCTCCCACGGTCCTCCCCTCCCCACTATCACCAGGCCCACCTCAGCAGACCGGGAATATTCAACTCAAGGGCAGTAGTCCTATTTTGTTGAATTGTTTCCACAAACCAGAGCCTCTTGTCCACAGTAACATGCCACCAAACACTCTGGCTTAGATCTTGACACATTTCTTGGACTGTGGTGCCAGGATTGTCCTCAATACCTCTTCAAGGCCTGAAGAGCAATTTATAAAGTTCACAGAATAGTTAGAGCACAGAAGGAGCCCATTCCAACAGTCATGTTTGTGCTGGCTCTCCCAGGTCTTCTCCCTGTGGCCCTACAATCTTTTTTTTTAAGTTAATAAGCTAGTTCCTTCTTAAATGCCACGATTGTATGTGCCTCCACCGCACCTTTGGACAGTACCTGCCAAGGCCTAGGTGGAGAAAGGAGGTCTCCAGCTTGAGATCCTGACACGGTCATACGTGTCGCCCTGCCTCCTGATAGTCTTAGTAACTGACTCAAAGGTCATGATGAAAAGGCAGGAAAGTGAAGTTGAGGATGATCAGATCAGCTATGATCTAATTGAATGGCAGAGCAGACTTGGGCTGAATGGCCTACTTCTGCTCCTATGTCTTTGGCCTTCTGACCTACACTACTATTAACAAAACTGAGGATGCTGCATTCTAGCCTGACCTCTCGCTGTTATGTTCTCTACTTGTGCATTACTCATAGGCAGTAAAGAGGAATTCCTTCATGGACTATCAAAATAACGAGTTTGTGATCAGTCACAGTAAACTAAGAGGAAGGAAGAAATCTGTTTCCCCACTGGGGCTGGAACTTGGACTAACCTTGCCTCCTCTCTATTTCTGGCTCCAGAATTAATGCACAACTATCACTGAGATCAACTAACTCAGCACTAAACCTGATGGCAAGCAAAGCTTTTCACAATCCATGCACTTCACTTATGGGTGCCAGATTGCAGTTTTATGTGTTTTCTTTTGTTCAGTAGGCAGACAACACAAATCCCCTTATCCATCCAATACATTGGAGCTTCTTTCTCTGTAAATGCTACATTTTATTGCATCCTACGTAGTAAAACTATTTCACCATGCAGCTTTAATAGTTAATCTTCTTTTAACTGGCTGCTTTGAACCAGCTACACAGTGATAACTGAATTTCCCAATGGGTTTGTGAACCTCTTTCTTTATTCATTTACAGGTAGTGGGCATCGCTGTCTATGCCAGTATTTTATTGCCCATCCTTAATTGCCAAGATGGCAGTTT